CTCAACCCCTTTTGGATATCAAATTCTTTGAAAAACATAAGATTCTTCCTATGCTTCTTGTACCAAGCAACCACCTCATTGAAAATGAGTGGACCATCCAGAATTTGAATCTTACACTTTAGGGATGAGAGCAATAAAGGAAGGAATACAACCTTTAGAAACAGAGCTCGTATCGAAAAAGTCAGTAACAAGTTTCACTGCATCTTCTTCCACCAAATACCAAAACTTCTTAAAGAACTTAAATGTAAAGCCACCCGGTCCCGGGGCCTTGTCAACTCCACAATCCCACACTGCCTTCTTAATTTCTTCTCTAGAAAAATCGACTTAAATAAGTAGATTGTTACTTTGAAATTCTTTTTGAAAATTCAAACTGATAAGAGGGTCGAACCCCCTTCACAGTCTCAAACCTATGCGAAAAATGAACAAATAATTCATTCTTAATTTTAGATGGATCCGTAACCCATTCTCCATTCGCCAAAAGCCTTCTAATTGCATATTTCTTTCTCTTTTTATTAAAAATCTCATGAAAGAATTTTGAGTTTTCATCACCTTCAATACCCTATCAAATTTTAGAATTTTGCACCAAGTTAAGAGCCTCAACATGTTCCATGTCACCCAACTTTTTCAAGAATTGAACACGCATCTCAACCTCAGAACAATAAGCTACACTTTAATCCATACGGTTGTCAATCTCATTAATCGTCCTTTGAAGAATATCTTTACTTTCCTTGTCCAACATCCTTTTCTCACCAATCCATTTTCGAAGATTACTTTTCAAAAATTAGAGTTGCTTTTGAACCCAATCATCTCATGCATATCATCTAGTCCTTCCAACAAAACGTACGAAAAGGAGTTGGCCCAAAGTCAATGATTGATTCCCTTTGGAGAATCGAATGGTGGTCCGACAATTTATGATCAAGGATTAGACCAATAATATTAGGCATGGTCTCTATAATCCTATTTGAGAACAAGAACCTATCCAACTTGCTCGTTTTAGACGCCCATTTGTTGGAGCATGTAATGGAAAACCCACCAAGTGGGATATCAAATAACTTTGTTTTCTGTATAAAGGCATTAAATAGCTCCACCGAGTGAGGATTAAACACTGACCCATGCCTCTCACCCTCTATTTGAGCTTCATTAAATCTCCCATAGCTAATACCTCCCTATCCATCTAGAAATAAAACCCAAGATGGTTTGCCAAAGAATTCTCTTAGCCGCTACATCTTGGGGCACATAGATGGAAATAATCATTACCGACTTTAAATTGGCAACCCAAAGTCCCTCAACCACCACAAAAGATTCTGAAACAAAAGATTGATATTTAATAAATACCGACTTATCCCAAATACAAAGAATGCCACCTAACCTATGCACGCCAAACTACATGCAAAATATAAAAATGAGTTCCCCTATATCGCTCTAATAACAAACAAATCAACACGAGTCAAATTTGTTTCTTGAAGAGACAAAAAATTAACCTTATGAAAACAACAAAGATCCTTTACCCATTTCGTTATCTACATCGCCAATACCTAAAACATTCTAAGACAAGACCTTCATTGGTAAACCTCCTTTGCTCCCATCCCCTTAATAATTCTCTAAGATTTTTTTCACAGCCTTTCACGTGGAATCCTAGTGCCCTTCCAACCTTAATGGTAGCAGAAAGTTCGTCCAACATAGAAAATTCGTCTTGTGTTGGTTTATAAGAACAAGATGATCCATTTTTTCCAACACATCCTATCCCACCTCCGATACCACTTGCTACTTTAAATCCAGAAGAACTAGAAGTGGAATTCACCCATCCCCCACCATATGCTCATTTGTGTCGACTCCCCCATCTGTCGGTATCACTTGTATGACCCAATTTGCAGTGTCGTGCACCCCTGGTATCACATCTCATTCTTTGATGTATCCTGGAGTAAACAGGGAGGTACAATGGCGATGTTGCCAACTCCATATCCCATGACTTTTTGATGGAATGATTTTCTTTCGACATCTTTTCGAGAAGTCTAATGATACCAAATGGATCATCCTTCTCCTCACACTCTTTAACCTCATTTTCCCCAAAACATTCATCCAGACCACCACCCTGGGATTCAGATCCTTTTCTGGAAGCCAACGACATACCTCTTTAACCAGAACAAATGAGACACATCTTATGACCACCACTCATCGATTGAAAGACCAAATCCATAAAGGAATATTTGATACATAACCGAATACTATAAAGGTTATTCCCATCATTTGTATCATGGTACACAATATCCTCTCATTTTCTCACAATGTTTCTGAACGTCTTGAGGTCCCAGACGCTAATTGGTACTCCCTTCATATCAACCCAGATTAATCTTTCATTCACTTTAAACTCTCTAGTCCAAGGCAAAAGTGATTGAAACCAAGAGTTTACCCAGGGTGATTAGCAAACTTATCCCGTGTTTCAGTTGAAACAAAATCCATAAGAACCCATAGACCTCCAATATACTTGAATCCAATATCAATAAAACCTTCCCCTTTGCATAAGGTGCCTAAATTAGGAAGAGAATGAAATCCTTTACACAACTACCAAAGCCAAAGGGTAGTTTGTCCGGATCGGACCATCCATGTCAAGAACTATTACCGCCGGATCCACTTTAGCTTAGACCCCCGACTCCTTTTGGACTTCCCCAACCACTTTGGTATACGATAATTCGCCTCTTTCTCTAGGATCAGATCATGTGGGTTCTGCATGAACACTAAGTGCACCCTGATTGAGCTCCTGATCATGCACATTCTTCACCTTAAAATTTCGATCAAATATGGCCTCGTTGGCATGCAAGCACAATTAGTTCATTGCAGAATTTCGGGACCACAAAATCTATGTTAGCAACCTTCTTGACCTTACAAAAGAAAGCATTTGTTCATTTTTTGAACGTCTTGGAGCAATGAACAAGTCAAGCACCATCCCAGCTTTATCACACATAATCCAAAGTTCTCTATAAGAGAAGTGAGATGAAAAATACATGTACATTATGAGCGATTTCTTGAACGTGCGATTCGTGTGAATTTTGGATTCTAGCACCCCCTAAGTTATGTTCGATAAAACAGAATGTCAACATTCTTGTTCCTTAGTACTGTCTTCCACAATTGATCACCCATGCTTGAAGAAGAAAAGATCGAAGGTAATCAAACAATGTACTTGATCGAGTGCACACCTAGAAAAACTGCTATCTCTCGAACAACAAATGGACGCTTTTCTGATCTCTAAAACTGATCTCCACCGTTTAGAATGTAGATAAAGATGTCATGAAGATACTGCCCAAACCAATGATGATCCGATGGTTCAAACTCCAAGAATGGATGAAACGGCTCGGTTGCGCTTACCTGAATAATGCAGTCAAACTTTTCTCGCATTTTTCTCTTGTTTGATTTTGGTTTCCTATGAAGCTAATTGGTTATGTTTCATCTGTGTGTTTGTTTTCCTTTTCCTTCAATTAGTTATCAGTTAGTTAATATATATTTGTTTTCGAATGTGTTTATTTTATATGTATTCGATTTACCATGTGAAACTTTTTCGGTATACTTTTTGTTTCATAAACACCTACAAAATGTTCACGTTGTGAAACAATTTATTTTAATCAATACACTAAATCTAAGTTGTAGTTGGCAAAAATTCATATGAAATAACAGATAATGTACCAATTCTTAATGTTATTATAATTTTATGGGTTCTCTTACAAAGGCCCCCTATATATGTTGGCTATATGTATTGGATATATATAGTATATGTATGTGTACGTATTACCGAATAAGGATCATTAGTATCAAAGTGATCAGAAAATCAAAAGAAAAAAACCAAAAATGCATTTCCTAGAAATAAATCCATCACTAATGACATATGAATATTGAAAAGAATAATATAAAATTAATTTGATACGTTGTTGATCCATCAGTGATTTATTCAAGGTAAAAAGAAGAAAAAAAAGTATTTTTTAAAAATAAGTGATAGATTACTGATTACACTGAAAATTGATTAACTAATTAAAATACGTAGGTGATACGCCCATAATTTAGCCAATTTAAAAAAATATATTTATAAAATAAATGATAGATCAACAGCAGACACTAAAAAATTATTTAATTAAATTTTATTCGTCGATCATCCGTCAATAACTTATCTGACCAAGAAAAAGAAAAAATATTTATTAAAATTAGTGATGGATTACCGACAAAAAATTAATTAATTTCTTAAAATGTATCGGTACTTTACCCGATTGAAAAAGGAAAACATATTTATCAAAATCAGTGATGGGTTACGGACGGAATTAAATTTTTTATTAATTAACTAAAATCCACCTATGACAGTTTTCATCACTAATTAGTGATGGAAATGAACAAACCAATCATCAAAGTCAAATTTAGGTTATCACCGATCCATCGGTAATTCATCAATGAATCAGTGATGAAATTTTTTGTCATTGATGTCGATCGCTAAAAATCTCTTTTTTAATAATGATATTATTTTGTGCAGTGTGCTCCTGGGTAACATGTATCACAAGATGATATGACTTCTAATTGTGGCAAGCTTGAAAGTGACCCAAAATAACTATATGACATGTCGAGATCTCATAAAGAGTATTTAATGACATGTACGGAATGAATTGAATTTCATATGTATAACTGATTACGATAATTGTTATCTATGTTCACATGTTTGATTACATGTTATTTTAAAATATGCATCATTAAATGTACTTTGTAATGCTTTCGATGTATAACTCAGTTGACAAAAAGGCATACGATTTTGCTCAAATACAAGACATGTTCCTGATTTATACAAGATAAATACATCGGAATATTATCTAACGAACAGGAGCTGTCATAACTGATTATCTGATTCTGATTATTTAATATCTGATAACTCTCGTAAACCATGCATCCAAACAATATTTGTAAACAACAAGAAATAAACATTAGTAGTAATAATATACAATGAACATTTCTTGAGTTAAGAAGCACAATTAACGAAAAAGGGGGAAAATGTATGAAAACAATTACAATGATTTCAGTGAAGATTCATGAAAAATTAGTTTCATCCTCGTGATTCAAATCCTCAACAAGTTAATAATCAAAATTAAAGATATATGGAAAAACCCCAAATCAATTTGTGTGAAGATTGCTAACTTGAAAAGGTCCATTTCCAGATCTTGATCCGAAGATCGACTTTGCATTTAGCGTCAGAAACGGTGGCAGTTACCGATGATGCCGATGAATTTCTGGACTTACCACCACCACCACCCTTTGGAATGAGGCTATGAATTCCTTCGCATTCGATCCGAATCCCAACTTTTTTGCTTCTAATTGATTCGATCTTCACTCGAGCTTCAGTATCAAGCAATATCTTCAACGGCAATCCAGATTTCTTCTTCAGATCTGATCTGATCTGGTTCACCGTAGTCGTTTCGAGAAGCAGAGAGTTGCTATACAATGACGAACGAATGACGGTGATGTTATTCGGATTACTAGCAAAGGAATCCGGAAACGATCCGTTTGCAATTTGAGTTTCATCTGATAAACATGTGATTGCGATTGGATCGTAGTAAAACACAACTTTCTTATTTGGATTTTTGGTGGAGAGGGTGAGATTGAGCCTGGATGTGAGGTGTGTTGTGTCGTCGGCGGTGGTGGTGAGGTTGAATTGGGAGATTTTGAGCGAGGTGATGGAGAATGTCGGACGGTGAGGGCGGTAGAGGAGGTAGAGGATACAGCCGGCGATGGTGGCGAGGAGGAGGAGGAGGATTATGATGAGGATTGACCAGAAGCAGCATAGGCAGAAGTAGCTGCGGCGGTGGTTGCGGTGGTAGATGTTAGGGTTTGGTCGGTAAGGGTGGCGATTGAGATTAGGGTTGTAAAGCTGGGATTTGTTCGCCGGTGGTGGTTGTGGTTTTTGGGTAGTGGGAGCGTCGACGGCGGCGGAGGAGGTGCCGTTGGGCTTTGATGAAGGGTAGACGGTATCTGTCATGGTGGTGGTTATAGTGGAGTATGAAATCAAGGGAAACAGTAGGATTAAGTACTGTTTTGTTTCAAATAAAGAAAACGTGAATAATGAGATAAAACTTATTTTTTTTATGGTTATTTTTATTTCATAAACGTATCATATTTTGTATAATTTTGTTGTTATGAATAGGGGTGTTTATGGGTTGGGTTGATTGGGTTGAAGACATTTAAACAACCTAACCTAATGCTTGCGATTTGAAAAATCTTAACTCAACCCAACATGAACCAAGATGCACCTAACCCAACCCAACCCGTATGGGTTGGTCGAGTTGGTTGGGTTAATACTTTGTTACATTAAAGTATTCTTCTAACTTAAAATTTGTTATTTCTCAACGCATTTCTTTTTCATCATCAATCATTTAATACAACTTATCTATACTTCTTACGTATATCACATTCAGTTAATTTTCTCAATTTACATATATATGTTCACAGTCATTGAACATATATACAAATGAGTTATATAAAAATGTACATAGATTGAAAATATGTGTATATGAAGAGCATTCATGATAGTGCAATTGTCTAATGTACATATTAATATAAATTCAACAATCATATTAAATCCAATAAATAAAAGGATATCGGGTTCATCGGATTGAGTTGGGTCAAATAATATCAACCTAATATCTACGGTTTGACAATTTTACAACACGATTAGACATCAGGTTGTTTTGGGTTGAGTCATTGCGTGCTGGGTTGATCGGGTTGGTCGGGTTTTTGAGCACCCTTAGTTATGAATAATAAAATAATAAACTTGTTGTAATGCAAAACATATTTGTTATTTTTTAATTAATCTGGATATTCAATCTGTTATGTGAGTCGATTAATTACAGAATGACCATTTGTTTCGCGAGTAGTCTAGAATCACCGCATTTGTTATCATGAATGATAGAATATCGGGTTTAATGAAATATTGTTTAAATACACATAAATAAAAAAGCATTCTTTCAAGAAAAAAAAAGGTAAAAATACCAAATTTAGTGTTTGTAAAGTTTATTTATACAATTTTCTTGTTATCAGTTTGATCTAAACATGGTAAAAAATATTCTAATTCCCTAAAAGTTGTAAATGTAAAAGTACTTGCGATTTATGCACTCAATAATAAGTAATAAAGAGTCAATAACCTATTAAAAAAAAGAGTTTTGATATCATAAATATAGATATAAGTTGAACCGTTCATTATGTTGATTTTTTTTAAAGGTAAGAGTTTTCTTAGTTAATAACAAGAAATATATATATATATATATATATATATATATTTATTATGGGGCCTATTCAAGAGAGAACTTATTAGTTGTGGTAACTGTGAGATTCAATCTCAACCACAAATCAACGAATAAATTAGGAAATTAATAATTATGGTAGTTTGAGTTAAAATTATAATTAAATGACATTTTAGGTATTTTTAAAAAACTTCTCTCTTCTATCTTCTCTCTCATCTCTCCGACCTCCAATCTCCGGTGAACAAAAATCTGGCAAGTACCAAGTAATCACAAAGATACACAATGTGATACCCATTGTGATATACTGTGATACCATTTGAGTACCACTGTATATCACAATGGGTATCACATTGTGTATCTTTGTGATTACTTGGTACCTGCCGGATTTTTGTTTACCGAAAGCCAGAGATTGGAGGTTGGAGAGATGAGAGATGAGAGAGGAGAGAGAAGTTTTTTAAAAATACTTAAAATGTCCTCTAATTATAATTTTAACTCAAACTACCATAATTATTAATTTCCTACTTTATATGTTGATTTATGGTTGAGATTGGATCTCACAGTTAGCACACACTAATCAGTTCTCATTTGATTAAGCCCCTATATATTATAATATGGAAATAGAATACATCAAGGTTTTCAATGAAAATGGTTTTAGACTTTGATACCAGATAAAACCTAATTTAAATATTTAATATTATTAAAAAATTGAGTATTAATAGAAAACATATGTTTATACATATAATATTATATGATATACAAATTTACTGCTATAAGTCATGTTTTAAAATATATCGCGGCCTCGTCGTGGCTCCTAAGGCTTAAGGTATGTTTTTCGCTTCCAGACCTCACGCCATTTAGAACCTTGTTTTCTTAAAAAAAAATTGTGTCGGTTAAATAAAAGAAAATGATAAAAAAAAAAAACTCCAATTTTGTAGATTCGTCAGCCAAATATAAGAACAATAATAAAAGATATTAACAACAATTAGAGTTTTCGAATCTCTCTCACTAATAACAAAACAAGGAAAAAGTTGGAAAGAAGCTAAAAAACGTAACGGAAGAAGACTTGAAGGCCTACAATAAGAGGAATTGATGTTGAGACAACGTGAAGATAGCAATAGTTTTTGTCCCCTAATAACACGAGACGAACACATCCATGTAAATTAAATATATAACCGAGTAAAGGTTAAAATACAAAACAACAAAATCAATTATATATGACACCAATTTCTTTTAAATATTTTAATATACTGCTTTAAAGCATTCATAACGGAATGACTTAGAAAAACCTCAAAATATCATTTTATTATTGTCGTATCAGCATCATGTCAATAAAACAAGAATTTGTACTGTGATAAACAACTTTTCCAACTTTTTTATTAGTCTCGTATACTTTTAATTTTTGAAATTTTAATAATTTTTATAAATTAAACAGAAATTTATAGAAAAAATCAAACTAATAAAAGAAAACAAACAACACAATTATCAATATAATAACTTAAGGTTTTTTATTTAAAAACCAAGTTTTTCTAATACCATCCCATGGGGGACATTAAATTTGGCCTGATTTAATGTCAAATCGGTCCAAATTTTACATCAAATTTGATGTAATGAATGGTAACAAATCAAATTTGATGTATCATTATTTATTTACATCAAATTTTATATTAATGAAAAAAAGAAAAAAAAAACCTACAATTTTACATTTGATGTAAAATTAAGTATTACCTATTAAAGTAAATTTATCATTTGGACTAAATTCCACATCAATTTTATGAATTTGGTGTAAGATTTGACGCTAAGCCTTTCTTGAAGACTCTCCATTAAAGTAACCAAGTCATTCTTTAAGAAAACCTAATAAAGCAACCATTATAAACTTAGATTTTTATAATTAAACAATTGTGTGTGCTATAAAATCATTGCATGAATATATATATATATATATATATATATATCTATATCTATATATATATATATATATATATATGACGTTCTCAACGTATTAACAAGTTTTTAATGATACGTTTGAAATAACATGTCTAATGAATTTTTTTATAGAGCATTATATTAAAAAAATTATAAAATATTAAGGTGGCGTTTGGTTCGCAGAATGTTTTTGGATGGAATGAAATCTGTTAAAAGAATTTGATTTTGAAAAAATTGAAATGAAATGTTGTCAGGTTTAACCACTTGTTTGGTTGGCAGACATTGGAATGTAATCTGTTAAAGAATTGGAATCTGTTTGTTTAGTTCATAGAATATAGCTTTAGAATTATTATAAAATATTGCTAAATGGCTAAAATGCTCTTTTTTGAAAATTTTAATTTTTTTAAAACTAAAAATACTTTAATAAAATAATTATTTAATATGTAAAACAATATAAAATACACAACCCAAATATAATCATAAGCCGAACGACGAACGATGTTACTAAATCGACAGTGGTTCAGATCGGAATTCAACATTTTTTTAAAGATTCTTTTCGTGAAAAAGAATAAACCAAACGAGGAAATGGAATTTGGTCAATGGAATTCAACATTCCAATTCCATCAGATTCCTCCAGAATTTATGAACCAAACGCCACCTTAGTGTTCTATAAAAAGATGTGTTAATGAGATGTTTCTCAAAAGTTTGATGTAAACACGCTAAAGCAACATTTTTTTAAAATGTCATATAAAAAACTTGTCAAAATGTTAAAAAATGGTCATATAAACTTATTGCAACACTTAAAAAATATAAGACACTATATTCTTTGGCCATATAGAATTAAATTCTATAAGACAGTCTATTAGAATAAATAGACATTTTTGGGTCATGTAAACTCAATTTTGTCTAACTGTGTTTTTGTCTTTACACAATCATCTAATTTTTTAAATTTTAACCTAATTATACATGTTTTTAAATATTTAACTGTTTTAGGTTATTTAGAAATTCCTGATATTGGTTTTTGAATAATGTTAAAAGAATAATATTATTTAAGTAAATTTCATATGTTAATTATTGTTTTAATTTATAAGACTTTAAATATCATACATGGTATGAAATTTTATATTTTATTTGTTACTGATTATATCAATTTAGAGTTTTTGTATATATATGACATAACAATGAACATGGTTTTATATGCATAATAACTATACAAGGATATGATGTTAGTAAAGGTGTGCCTCACGGGGAGTTTGGGTTAGGGAGGCCAAACCTAAAATCTCACAAGATTTCAGATATGGAAATCAAGCTTCAAATGTTGGGTTTTGGATCTCGTATTGATTTGGATTCGGGTTGGTTAGGTTTCAAGTATAGTTATATGCAAAATTATATATATATATATATATATATATATATATATATATATATAGAG